AGAGCAGGAGCCGATCAAGAAAATATTGAAATTAACAATAATTTACATTCATTAACATATCAAATTCATACAATTAGCAAGTCATGGGGTAGTCACAAAAATATAGCACACAAGTGCCACAGAAGTACTTTTAGTCACAGAAGACTAAAGTAAGAGCAAGTGCGTCAAAATAAGCCACACAGTCATGCAAAATACAATGGCCTCAGCACTTAGCATCACCCCAGCTAATTCTAGCTATACTAGTCAAAAGAGTCAAAAGAGTGGTCAAACTGCCTAGACCTAGTCCACAGTAGGACTATCAGGAGGAACCTCCTCCTCAGGATCCTCCTCCGGATCCTCTTCAGAGTCCTGGGCTACCCCCATAGCCTCATCGACTAGTCTAGTGGCATCAGCTACAATATCGGAAGCCCGACTACGGACCTCCTCTCTCAGTCTAGTAAGCTGAGCTCTAGTGCTCCGGAGCTCCTCATTAACCACAGCAGATGTGGTAACCTCGCCCTCAATCACCTCCTCAAGCTCGGCGACCCTCTCGCCCTGAGCACTCACCATCTGTCGTAGCTCGTCCACCTCAGCCTGTAAGTCCAAGTTGGCAGTCACCAACTGACGACGCTCGTCGTCCAAGGCCAGTACAACATGGTTTGGGTAAGCAAAAGTCACCCTACAAGCACATGGGGGGTATCGAGGATCAGGCGAGTAGCGCACACGAGCTCCCCCAGCTAAAGTTCGGTAATAGATAGGTCTAGGAGGCACTACATGACCATTCGTATGGCCATTCCCGTTAGCTGTCGGGGCTCCATTTCCGTCATCCATCCCTGCAAAATAATAATACTTTTCAGGTTATAAACTTAAATCACTACCCAGTTCCAATATCCTGCAATGCATGCCTAACTTAATCGTTGGTTCATCCCGATTGTCACTTGAGGTAGGACTAACTTAGTTGCTAGCTCGCCTCAAGTATCACTTAGGGTATGATTAAGTCATCCCATATCGAGTCTTAAAGGTAGAATATCTAATATGTCTCCCATATAAACCTCTAACCTAGTGCTCTGATACCAACTGTGACGCCCCCACTTCTCCTTAAGGCAAACCAAAGGGTATCTGCGGGACGCCTGCTCAGCTCTCGCCAGGACTCACGCAAAACATTCAAGCTTATAACTAATCTAATAGTCACATGTACAAAACATAAATACAGTGATGCGGAAGCGTTCAAGTTAACCATGGTCATCTATTATCCAACCCGTACATCGGGTGTTCAAAATACAACTTTAAATCCAAATTCATCTCATGCCCAAATGCTACATTCCAAATACAACAGTACAACCCAAAACCAAGAGGCATCGACAAAATGATGACGGAAACCCTAAACAAAAGTACATCAAGAGAGTTTCTCCAATACGTCCCCGGATCCAGTCCTGTTAAGGAAAACAAATCTACAGGGTAAGCAAAACGCTCGTGAGGCCAAGAACACACATGCAAGCACATTGCTCAAATAACAATCTCAATTTACAAGTCAAGCAATAATATTGCAATAATTAACAATTCGAGCGGGAAAAGTAAACAGAAACAATTCAAGGATATAGTAGCTCTCAGGAGTTGAGTTCCATTTGCACGAGCAATAACCTCCACGAATTGACACTCCGTCAATCGGGTAGGTTTAGTCCGCAGAACTCCACTTAACCTGTCCCCTTTCACCTTACATACCCCTGTATCGGGCCCGCCTGTCATTAGTTTATGGCGATACTATTCGAGTATGCCAAGCAAGACCTCTCATTAGGTCAAGCTTATATATCTCATGGTTTGCCAAGGTTCCCGACCAAGCCCATGCCGGCTCGAGTCCAAGGTCGGCCAATGAGATTTGGGCGTCCCCCATGTGCACTTGTGTGTCGAGGAGATTCACTCCAACGACGTATGCAGCTAGCATACCAATACATTTCATTCATTCAATGCATTTCAATCATTCATTCAATGCATTTCAATCATTAAAATTTCATTTCTAATGAGAACGAGTGTGGTAAAGTACACACTCGACTCCACTTTCAAGATTTCCAATCATTAATAACAATTAAACATGTAACAAGTTTACATACACCTGACACTCACCAAATATTAGGTGTGAGTAAGGTCAAGGGAAGTTCAAGCGTCCACCGGGGAATTCTCTTGAAGGTCCTCGTGTGCGCCTGAGCAAATAATAGTGAATTTATCATTCACATCCCAAATATCGAGGAATAATTCGTTCACTAGCATTAATCGAGGGAATTCCGTGAAAATGAACCTCAATTACTCGTAAATCGAGATTCGAGTGGGGTTTCATAACGTTCAAAAGTATTTAAGTCTTTATCTAGGAATTCGGGGATAAAACGTTTAGATAATATCAAAAGAATAAAGAGTTCTAGAAAAACTCTATTTCCTTGAAATTGAAAATTTTCAGTTTTATTATGAATCTTTGAAATATCGTAACTCACTCGTCACAAGTCGAGAATTGGAAAACTTTATACCGTTGGAAACCTCTTAGAAAGTACTATAAGTTCCTAGAAGACACTTTTCCATGAATCGAAGTGGAAAGTGCTCAAAAATGAGCTTGAAGGTACAGACTCGGTTTACAAGGCAGAATTAAGTTGGATTTCGGCCAACTTTGAAAATTCGGCACGATTCACACGTTGCAAACCGGCCTCTGAAATTTGTAACTCAATTAGAGTTGCAAGTGAGGTTTATAGCAAAGCAAGCGGATCAAGAATCGGAGTTTCAAGTACCGAGATACGGTAGCTCAAAGTTGGGGGAATTCAAGACTGGAGAAGAATTTCCAGATTTGAACCTCCAACACTAGAAATTTAATTAGGTATCGAAACGAACTTGGATTGGTACCAAAATTGGCAGTATTTTACTCCTATATGAAAGGTATCTCTCTATCAAATTTCAGGGAAAAATAACCTCGGGAAGGTAGTTAACTAATCATCCAAAGTTCCGGAAAATTTCTAAGGCAATCTGCCTTTTGACTTTCATTTCCCAATTCAAATCGTTTAACCAAGAAAGCTATCCAACCATGGTTCATTTGTGAAATAAAGGTCTAAGATACATCCATGATACCTTTGGTAATGGTTTAGCATCAAAAATTTCAATTAATAAGATCACTCCCGGGTTTTGTCTCAAATCAGTCCAAATATTACGTTTTTCCAAAACAGGGCAGTCCTCTTGTTTTGGTCACAACTCAGTCAATTTAGCTCGGATTTGAGCATGGTTTATGGCGTTGGAAAATACATTCATAGGAATAAAAGTTGACGGAAGGAAACGTTCTGAAATTTGGCAAGTAACCAGCTCGAAATTGAGCCTCAAGTTGCTGCCTCTACAAACCATTCCAGCAGATCCGAGAGACAGGACAGCTATCTTAAAACGAATGGTTCGGCTCCTACAAATGGAATCAGAATACGTATTTTATACCGTTGGAAAGGTATGGATGTCTAGTTTCGAATGCCACTGACAGCACTCAATTTCGACGTCGGAGGACAAAGTTATGGTCAAAATGCTACCGCTGGACAGGGTTATCCGAAAATAATTTTCTAGCTTGCCTAGTTCACGAATAAATTCATTTGCCCATCTAAACGTTAATGTTTTCCAATGAAAATTTTTACACATATAACATAACATATAAACATCAGGTTCACGCCAATAAATCACCAAAAATTGGTCTTATCATGGCCGAACAAAACAGGGGCAGTTTCGGAAATTTCTTGTCATGACCTCAACTTTGAGTTTCCAACAATAATACTCCATAAATCCATCATTTTAACCACTAAACTACCATTAAATCCAACATTAATCCTCTAATCAGCAACAACCCAAGTGTGGGAATTCATAGAGCCCACTTTTTAAATTTTCCAACAATATCAAGCCATCCATACACATGCAATAGCTTAAAGATGTATTTCTACCATCATAATCCAAGTTTAAGGTGTAGGATGAGGTTATACCTCCTTAGTGCTTTAAACCAGAAATTTTCGGTCCTCAAGAGGCTCCAAGAAACCGTGAAATGCAGCCCTTTAATTTGCTAGATCCAACCTCCAAGTAGTTTGCTAGATGGTCTTCAAGTTTGGTGAAGATTGATTGAAGTTTTGTGGTTAATTTGATGAAGAAATTTTTGAAGCAAGGGAGTGAGAGAGAGGGAAGGCTGGCCGGCTGTTGGTGAGAGAAGAAAGAGTGAAATTTGATCAAGGTTAGCTTCCAAGAGAAGATTAAAATGAGTGGTGTAAATTCACTCCAAAGTCAACCCTCATTAGGGCTCGTTTGGTGCATTTAGGGCTCGATTTCGCTCGCGTTTGGTTCACTAGTGCACTAAACCTCTAATGTACTTATGTTCATATAAATATTATTCACTCTTTATTGTCTCGAAATAAGGGTTTAAAGTCCCTCAAATAAAGCCGCGCGTATGAAAACGCGTACCGACAATTTTAACGCTATTACGCAAAACCTCCAAGAAATTCTTATAACGATAATATTATTAACTATCACTTAAGTACTTAAATCTAAAATTATCTATTTTAAAGCCGTTGTACATGTCCCAAAATTTCCGGGCTAATTGTACTCCTAATTGGCAAAATTCTCCAAACGTATTTTCACCTTTTCTCTAAACAGGCTCCTAAGAAAAATAATTTTTGAAACGAGACACTTTAAAAATATAACGAAATTATATTGTCATGTATTTAGGTCTAATGAGACTAGAAAATATTTCTCGTGGTAAAAATCCAATTAGATAATTTATTAAGCCATAAATTAGGCTTAAAAATAATAGTTTTTACGAGTCCTCACACATGCACACTTACAATATCACTTGATCAATTATCAACCTTCAATCTCAACTAAGTCGAGTGCGATAAAGTACACCCTCGACTTAGAAGGCGAGGGACAATTGAAAACACTTAACAATATTTCATAATAAGCACATTTGCCATATAATTACACTTAGGTACACATAAGCAATTTAACACATAAATTCGGAAAACACTCACCAAAGATTCAAATGACTACTCTCGAGTCTCGAGTTGGTTTCCTGGTTCACGGCTACTTCCTAGTACAAGTTAATAATTCTAAAGTGAATATTCATTTTATATACAACCACTCATCTTACATAATTTAAGGTTTAAGTAACTAAAACCCAAGTTCCTAAGCTTATAAAACGAATCACCAAAATCTAGCAACCTTCCTTACGTTTGTCTTCAAGATTATTAAGTTTGGTAGCTTTAAAACAAGGTTAATGTACATATACACCAAATTTTAATATCATATAAAACACTTGAACTAAGATTAACTCATTTCCAATCTAATGTGCAAGGATTAAGACAAGCAAACATTTCATTTCTTCCGTCTAGGCTAAAACAGATTCTAGTTTGACCTTAAAGTACAAATATAATATATTCAATATTCATTTATCATTTTATTTTGAAACTCATTGACTTTATTGTTTTAATCAAGAATTATACCTGTTTTCCCAAGTTAATAATTTATAAGATATTTATTTTAGAATTAAATCATTTTCCACTCAAGATTCTAAGATTACGGTTTAGGAGTACTTCATTGGTCCCCTTTTTAATTAATTAAACTCAAAGTTATTTGTAAGTTAAATTTTATTCCACTACACCAGTCCCTCAAATTTTATAGTCTTTAAAATATTTGTGAAGACAATATTAAGTAAGTAGAAGCCAATTTAGGTACATAATTATCATGAGTTTTCCCCTCATTTGCTTTAGTTTAACTCTACTTGTGGAGCTGTATATAGCCATTAAATCTCAGGGTAACCGTAGCTATCATCTATGAAAGCTTACAAAGTTGGAAATTAGAGGAAATGCTGGTTCAAAGTTGGTTCCTCACGGCCATTATCAAAGCAAAGTGCATCCGGGAACAAAAGGAAAGCAGCAAGAAAGACAGCTTTGCCACCCTCTGATGTTTTGATCACAACTGGAGTTACGCTTATCGGATTGAGGAATTTTATAGCGTTTCGAAGCTAAGACATAGACCTACATTTCTTCTGAAGACATCGACATCCAGTTATCGCGTTTTCAAGGCCAAAAAGGGACGGTCACAAGCACAATCTGTTTCATTTTCTTTGTCAGCAACCAAAACTAGTAACGTTACTTCAAGCTTTCGACAAAAACTCTATTCTTTCACTTGCTTCAAGCTCTAAATATTTAAAGTACATTCAGTCCAGCATATACCAAGGCAAATTGCATCTAGTTTCAACAAATTATTCAACCCAAAAGCTACGCACAACAATCTGTCATCAACTAATTACAATTTACAGCAGTATAACAGTTTAACATGTGGTGTTTTCTCATAATTTTCTTTTCAGTTTCATGCTCCAACTAGACATGCAGGGGATGATCATTTAACTACAGACCATCTTAAGCAAAACATAGAAATTTATAACCAAAAATCCAAGAGAAAAGCTGAACCAAGATTTATATCCTTTCTCGGCTATAAAGCTGGTTCGTAGCAGCAAGTAATGCCTAAAGACGAGTTTCTTCTACTAGATCCCTCCATTTTATGCTCAAACCTCTCATGCATGAAGAAATCAAGACAGCTGAAACTTTTCCATTCCCCCCCCCACTCGGATGAAGCTGGAAAAATTCCAGTAAGGATCTTCCATCGGTCCTCCCAATTTCCAACTTTTCCCAAATTTCTTCAACTAAACTTCTTGTAATACCTGAGATAACCATATGACATGCTTTTCTTATATTATATTTTCCATTTTTACACTGCTAATGAGCTGAAATTCATGTAATTAACTCCCGGTTGCTACAACTTCAGTCAAATAATCATTTTAATCTCAAACCAGAATTTTTCTTCAATCGAAGCTCATTTCCTCTGCTAAAACTTATCTTGCAGCTTGTAGATATATATATATATATAGGGTTAATTCCACTTTGTCCCCCCAAACTTTGGACGATTACCCACTTAAGTCCCTAAATTTCAAAATGGGACACTTAAGTCCCTAAACTTATAAATACCTCCCACTTAAGGAAAATTATTAACAAATCCTGAATGCCGTTGGTGGTCAAAGTGTCCCATTTTATAAGGGTTTAGGGATTTAAGTGTCCCATTTTATAAGTTCAGGGACTTAAGTGGGAAGTATTAATAAGTTTAGGGACTTAAGTGTCCCATTTTGAAGTTTAGGGACTTAAGTGGATAATCGTCCAAAGTTTGGGGGGACAAAGTGGAATTAACCCTATATATATATATTCATTTATACTCAATAAATAAGTATTGATCACAGAGAATTTACCTCTTTCCTTTAAGAGTTAAAAATTGCAGACTGACCAGATTTTCCCAGCTTTGTTTCCTCAAGGTCTGCACCAGCTATCCCTCCTATTTTCCTTGCCTTTCTCTTATTGATTATGATCAGCAGATGATGAAGCTAACCAAATTTTCTCTCCCTCACTCTTAGTTCCACTCCCTCGATTCCGTTTTTGGAAAGAAAGAAAGAAAGCTGCCTTGTGTTTCTTTCCTCTCGGTCACCGCCCAACTAGCAATTTCTTTCTCTTTGTTTCCTCTCGGTTATCTTCCAGAAGACGGCTTCCTTAGGTTGCATAGTAGTTTAACCAAGATTCAGGGTTAGTTAGGTCATTAGTATTAACTTATTTGCTCACTAAGGGGCTGCGGTTTTATTATTTCATGCATTGACACCAAACTTCATTTGTTCTAATTTATATACCCTTACAAAATTCTCGTACATTAATCTAGGAGATTTTCATACATTCGGTTTTAAAGGAAAAACAACTAGACATATAATTTATTCAACTGTATAATATATGCTACGTGTCTAGTAATATATGCAAATGACACAATTTACAATATACATACCATGTGTTTATTTGATTCATAAAAATTTTTCTACACCAATCTACGATATTTCTAATTCTCGATTTCATAGAAATTCAATTAGACATTTAATTTAACCACTTATTCGTTATATGTAATATTTCCAATATCAAGGTAAATAAAATAAAATAAATGCAAACCACACACCTGATTTTCTCGAGTTCTCACATTAATCACCTTAATTTTCATATATTTTAGGTCAATTTCAGGAGATGTAAATATATGAGCATAAAAAATGTATCAATATAACTACTTGATCAAAATTGTAGCAAATTTTGATTTGTTTTTTCTTTCTATCATAATTTTCTTTGTCTATCTTAGGTGTTTTATATAAAATATTAAAAATAAGTTATTTTTGCTAAAAATTGACACTCATTTGGATTTTCTTTTCATGCAGTTTTTTTCAATAAAATAATTTCCATGATTTAGTTTAAAGTTTTAGCCTATGCATTGCACAAATAAGAATTCTAGTTCTAACTTCATTCTAAACCTTCAAAAACTCCAAAAAGAAATGAAAAATTATTTGAATGTTGCACTATTTGCATAATAAATTCAATCATTAATATAATATTTATAAAAAATACAATCACCAAAGCATCGGTAGCTATCATTCTATTATAGGAATATCACAAAATTTACAATGTTGGGGCTAATTTACAAAACAATATATATTACCCTGAAAAACTTTAAATTGGTCTCGTATAACATATACCCTATCTTAAATTATTTTGATAATCTGTATAATTGCTATGTTCTCTCTACAGTTATAACATAAAAAAATTAATTTTGAAGAGTATCTTTTTGGGTTAAAATAACGAAACAAGTCCTACTTGATTAGGTTTAAGAAATGGTTTACATCGCAATTTAGGTTCCTTAGAACTTTGACTTGTGATAGGCTCCACCGTATCTATATCTATTATTATGAGATTTATGAATGGAAACTCATCCCTTGTCGGCAACATGTTGTAGTAAAGAATTTTGCCCGGATTACATGAATAGTACAACTTATTTGCTAAATTAAGATAAACCGACTGATTGTACATATTGCTATAGCATATGCCATCTTATTTCGTTAATACATCCATAAAACTGGAGTTTTAGGATTACCAGCAATGAAGTGTTTGTGAACTCCTTCCAATTAAATCCATGTCAATCACTTCCATGACAATCTATATAAATGAAAACAAAATATAACTTAAAAAAATGAGTATTTTGGGTTAAAACTTAAAAAGTATACACATTAACTAAAACAAGGACACAGTACAAATAGTTGAATGTAGCCTATCCCATACTGTCTCAAAATTACATTACATTAGGCGGTTCTGCCCAGAGACCGTAAATATTTACAATAGTGAGTTAATATTTGCTTGTATAAAATAGTATTATAACAATGTGTTGGTGAACAGCCACGGATTTAAGGGGGGGCTGGTGGGGGCTTAAGCCCCCCCCCAAGCCGCCGGAAAACCCCCTATATATAGGGGATTCCGGCGGCCAGCCCAGCCAGTTGGGCGGTGACGGCAACGTGAATAATCAACAAGATGAAGAAGACCTTGTGGATTATTCTCACTTTCTGTTTGAGCCTGATCCTCCAGGTCTTTTTTGAGACAAATAAATAGAGGCAAATGGCAATAGCAGTAGCGAGTGATACACACACACATCCATTTTCTTTTCATGACAAAATTGTGTAGTGTTTTATACTGGCAAGTACTTCAGCGGAACCTATGGAGGATGATGACAATCTAAGTTTTGTTTTCCCCTGCCTTCCTAAAAATCTTTCTTATTCAAGGACAATTAAGAGTATTTGGTGTGGATGAGGCCAATAAGGCGGACGCGGGAGTCGTCCAACTTACCCAATTCGGAACTGAAAGACATTGTAGGCATTAATGCAGGGAAATAACATGAGAAGTACTTGCAATCTTCTCAAGTAAAACTCAAAAAACTGATGAGGCTGTAGACGACATTAATTTATTTTCTTTTCTTTATTTGTTTGGTTTAGCAAATTTGTGTGAAGAGATCATGTCCCCCATGATGACTTGCGAGTTCATAAACCCATGATGACCTGCGGGGGCTTTTCTACCAATTCAAGCATTTTAAATTTGGGAACCTTTACTCAATTCTTCAATAATGCCTTGCTAGGTTAAGAGGAATAATCACACACATCGCTTTTTTAATAATGATAACGGGCCGGATAAATACGTATGCAGCCTGCAAATCCTTCAATTCAATGCTTTCTATTTCGAACCATTTGGTACTTATTGGAGAAGTCTATGTATAGAAAATAGATGTAGATTTATTTTGCAATTAATCATTTAATTGCCCGACCAAGACCAATGGTCTTCTTCCTTCGCTTTTTCTTTTTCAGGATGCATAAAACTCCGAAACTGAAGAAGACAGAAGAATTGTTGGGAACCTTATCCCATACTTGGCATTAGTTCTACCAGTTGCGACTGCTTCTGTTGAAAGAGTATTTTCTGGAATGAATATTGTCAAGACTGATTTGCGCAACAAAATGGGAGACGAGTGGATGAATGACTGTCTGGTTGTATACATCGAGAAGGATATTTTTGCAACAATTGAAAATGAGCAAATATTGCAGCGTTTTCAACGGATGAAGACTCGCAGAATGCAATTGCCTCCTCTTCGTTATTCGAGTGCAACAACTACCAATACTTCAAGTGTTAATCAATAACAAATTTTTGGGTATGTATAATTATATGTTTTTATTATTTTTATAATTATTGATTCTAAATTTTACTTATTAAATATATTTATTTCGTCACAAAAAAAATTTTTAATACACTTCAGCCCCCCCAAAAATAAATTTCTGGCTCCGTCCCTGTTGGTGAACAAGTTTGGATCAATTTAAACATAACAAATTGTTGTATATGGAAGTTTGTTATAGTTATCACTAGCCAAAGAAGCATTTCTAATGCCATTAAGATATAGAGATAATACAAATAAGTTATTAGCAATTGAGAGTGAAATCATTATTTATTGTGCAAATCAGTTTATCATGAGATTTATGAATAAATACAAAAGCATGGATCAAGTTAGAGAGATGATTCAAGTTTGGTCAATACCAAACTCAAAATTGAACAAGAATATTGTTTTCTTATTTTAATTAAACTTCTCATTTATAGCTACATTATATTCTATAATAGAAAATTTATATTTATTTTACATCGAAATTTATAGTTTTTAGTTTACATTTTTATGACTGTGTTGCATATAGGTATAGGATAATTTTCTTTTGACCTCTACCAACATCACTAAACCCTTCTAACTATTCAGTATAGAGCTCTAGTTTTAAATTATAATTCAAACATGAATTTATCATGAAAAAATTAGTCAAAGAGAAAGAATTTTTTAATGACATTAACTATGTCAATTATTAAATTGGTTGATAAAGGTGTGTGTGTGTATATATATAGTTTGAATTATTATTTTATTTCCAAATGATTCTTTTGAAAGTATGTATGCATTGATTTATTAGCAAGTATGTATGCATAGATTTATAGATCAAATTAATGACAAATATTAAACCATTTGGCATCTTGATTAATTAAATATGTTTGGATTAGCTACTTTTGGGTGTGTTTTTTAAATATTTTACTATAACAGTATATATGCAAAAAAAAAATTTGAGATTTTTTGAGTTGTTTTTGTTCATGTAGTACTGTAGCACTGTATTTAAAAAACTTATTTTTGAAAAATAGGCCAATCCAAATGGAAAGTTTTTTAAATTTAGTAATAAGATATGTGATTTAATCAGGTGGAACTATGATAGATCACCTAATTAATATTTTAAATAGTATCAAATTATATGTTTTTTGAATGTATAGGTTCAAGTAAAATACTTTTTTTTTCTCTTTAAAACCAATTCTCTCCTCACTCTCTCTAAACATTTCTCCAACCAAAACTTCTTTCAACTCTCTCATAAGATCAATTTTTTTTGTTAGTCTTTCCCCATGAGAGGAGCAATCTCTCATTATTTTGTTTGAATAAAGTCTCTATTAGAGTTTTCTAGTGACAGTTTCTTCTATTCGAAATTGTTCTAGTATAGTTTTACTCTCTCCTAAAATTTTTTTTGTAAGAGTTTTGTTATTTTTTTACCATTTTTCTATTAGAACTAAGATTTTATAGATCTGTAATTTCTCACGTCGATTAGGTTAGATCTATTTTTCTCTTTGGATAAGAAAATATTTTAATCATATATAACTGTCAGAAGGCATGCACAAGTTTGTTGGGTTGGAACAATTTATATGAATTGAATATGTTTTGGAGGTTACAATATTATTTTTATGATTTTTATTTTTTTTTCAAAATTGTTGTATGATTTTCTAATCTTTATGTATTTTTAGTCATTAATGCATATTCATGGCAATAAAATTATGTTTGTTACTAAAAAAATAAAAAAGAAATACCCTTCCTCTAAACTAGCTGGATGGCGTTAGAGTGTTTATAAGTACATAATCAAATGCTAACAATGAATGAGTTGTATCCCCACTCAAAAAAATTACTATAAATTAGGATAAAGGAGTTGCCCCTAAAATCCATATGGACTTGATGGTTGAGTA